TGTTGCCCTTAACAGTAAACTGACCAAAAGACGATGCTAGGCTAAGCTAAGCTAAGCTAAGCTACAGTGGCTTCAAAGGCAATACACAGAACGCTCAATGAGAAAAAGAGTAACAACTAAAGGCTTAAAGGAAGTTTGCCAAAGAACAGATTGATACTCAACAACACTACTGGGACTATTGAAACTAAGTTTGAACTGTTTGGGAAGAACATCCAGCACCATGTAGTGTGTAAAAACAACTTTGCTGCCTCCCTCCTGGGCCCGGACAGCTCGCCATCATCAAGGGGAAAATGAATTCCCAAGTTTATCGAGGTCTCTCACAGAGGAATATCAGGGTGTCAGGGTGATGCAATTAACAATAATATTTTGATCAACTGTTCAGCCCTATTGTGGAATGACCTCAAGAGAGAGACGCTCACACCAGACATCCTGAGAACATGGCATACATTTTCTCATCACTGTATCTTGGCTGGACGGTTTCGACTTACGGCCCAGTTCTGACAGAGCCGTCGACCGTCCCTTACTCTAACGTAGGCGCGAGAGGAAAAGTCAGGATATCACCAAAGTGGATTCATCCTCCACGAATGCCGCGGCCACACGACTGACACTGCTTAATGCTGGAGCTTAATACTTTAATACTGCCGCTTTCCTTCTCAGGTCTCTTTCATTCTGTACATGAGTTTTAGCCAACGACCTTACTGCATGCACGCGGTGATCTCCGCATGGCAGAGTCTAACATTATACAACTGGCAAAAGAAAAGAGTTCCTCATCATCTTCTGGATGTTCTTTCCTAAACCACAATGCCAGCCTGAAATACACAGGTAATGAAAACACAGACACTCCTGCACACACCAGATGAATCCTTGTGTTCGTTGACGGGGTGCAAATGATGCTTCCTTCCCTTCTCTCATAATAGCCTCTATTGTTGGTATTGTGTGGGAGGGAGACACTGATTTGCTGCGGCCGGTATAATTCTCTCATTATGAGTTCAGGAGGGGAAAAAGAGGCACAGGGAGGGATGACGGGATGAAGGCCCAGAGGCACGGCGTGCCACAAAGAGCAAAACCCGACTGATAATGGAGCAAATCCATCAGTCTCTCGCTCTCCATCTCTGTCTGTCTCTCGTCATCCATCCACAGGCCTTACGGAGCTTTAGATGGAAGTCATTTCAGGGAGCTTGGAGAGAAAAGTGGCTCAAAAGAAATGCAAAAAGAGATAATGGAGTACAGGCATTCTTGCCCCCCCCCCCCTCCTCGCCATAATGCCACGCAATCTGGCAGAGAGAGGGAGAGGAAATAGGGAGGCTGGAAAAGAAGGCAGAGAGAAAGAGGGAAAGAGACGGAGCAGACATTGTGAGGTGGTGGTTAGATCAGCCTTCCCTCCTCTCTGGTTGAGAGCAGCAGCAGCAGCAGCAGCAGCAGCAGCAGCAGCAGCTTAGAGCTGTTAGTGTGCTTATTTTCAACCACAAGGTTGCTGTGACCTAACTTAGGCTCCGGCTTCTAAAATCCCATTCACTCTCCGAGCCTCCCAGAACCCTCTCCAGCTCCGGCTATGGCTCATTGCTCTCATCATTGGTTCAACTTTACAAGCGTATGCAAGTGCAAGTTTGAGAAAAAGACTGAGGGGAAAAAAAACAAGCCCATGCAGCCACTCGAGGGTATTTTAAAGAGACCCCTGCCTTCTCCTCATGATACCCTCAGGTCTTAAAGGACTGTTGGCTCGGTGTTCAATCACCACAACAACCTCACCTTAACAACAATGACTCCGGTAACCTTGGCCATCCATTAGCCTGTCTAAGAACAAAAGCTGTTTCCATAGGGAGCCATTAGACGAATATAGCCCTGGGAAGGAAAGTATCCAATACACCAGATGGGCTGCGCTTTATACCAGCTCCAGGGCTGGACAGCAGTCTCACTGAGCCCGTTTATCGAGAGGGAGAAATTAGGCTAAATCAGTGCAACACATGGAAAATGTTCAGGTTCGATGCTGGAGTCGATCCACTAATCTGAAACTGCAGGTGGACACTGATTACTGCCCAAAGCTTGGCAGGTTTCTGCACGCTCCAGTGTGATTCCCACACTTCTAACCCAACTATTTTTTATTTCCTCAAACTGTCTATCACTGACAGGAAGACGATTTCTTTCATTGAATTCACCGAATCCATCAGTGATTAGCCCCAAATTTGAGCCTCTCGTGTTTTACAATTACATCAGAGTCACAGAGCTGAGCAGCTGATGTTCTGAAAAGTAAATATCCAGAGATGTTTAAAAACCCAGAAGGCCGTTTAACAAAAACACAAATCCTCTTCTAACCGTCTGGATGTAAAAATGTTCTGTCTACTGTACCAGAGGAAAAGATTTTTAACCTGTTTTACAGGGTGCGACTGTATTTCCGATATCCAGGTCCCCAAAAATATTAAATACTGGAGCAAAATATCAACATGCACGAATATAGCTGTTTTTTGTTGAACAACGTGAGCAAGATGATATGTCATTTCCAGCCACCATCTTTGTTTGGATTAGAAAAAGGAGTCTTTATTTTTTTTTCTTAAAATCAGATGCTTCGCCGTGTGACTGAGATTTCGTGGCAACACATGAGAGACACAGACTGGGGCTCGTTGGCGACACACTTCAAATTCAACATCTGTTATGAATTCTCCAAAAACTCTGCTTTTACGATGCACCCACCTGCACGTCCCGCTGCATGAACAAGCTGCCAAATTGCAGAGGGGGAACAACTCACTTCCCCGACACTGTGCTGCGACTGAAATGCTAAATCTGTGTCGATAAATGCCTGGATATCTTTTTTTTTTTTTAATCATCAATCGTCGAGAGGACGGAGATAATTTCACAGAGAAGAGGCGTCAGACAGCTCTCGGCTCGAGCCCCGAGTTTACATCTATTATGTAGAAGTTGAGTCGGGCTGAGCTCGATAGCCAGCGAGTCCTGACTATCAGTCAGAGCTGAGGATGTGTCACCTGTCTCTTCCCGTCGCGTATGGCTTCCCCTGACTAACGTTACAGCTGTACCTCCTGGCTACAGAGCAGATAACAGCACAGTGTGTGTATGTGTGTGTATCCATGTTGCAGTGGTTTCTGTGAACAGGTATGTGTGTGTGTGTTTTCTTGTATGAGTGTGTGCGTCACATTTGTGTCCGCACTGCAATACATGTGTGTTTATCCATGTGTGTCTGCGTGACAGTTTGTCTGTCTCTGTNTGTGTGTGTGTGTGTGTGTGTGTGTGTGTGTGTGTGTGTGTGTGTGTGCGCGTGTGTGTGCACTTTTCTGTCTGACTAAGTGTCTGCTGTACCTGCACTTGCATGTGTTCCTATGTGTATGTGTGTGTATCCATGTTGCAGTGGTTTCTGTGAACAGGTATGTGTGTGTGTGTTTTCTTGTATGAGTGTGTGCGTCACATTTGTGTCCGCACTGCAATACATGTGTGTTTATCCATGTGTGTCTGCGTGACAGTTTGTCTGTCTCTGTCTGTCTCAAGAAGCTGAACCAGGGGACTGGATGTCTCAGTGTGTGTGTGTGTGTGTGTGTCTCAAAGGGGGGAACCGGGGGGACGGCTGCTGTGAGAGCTGAGGTGTAACACCTTGTTAATGTGACAGACACAGTAAAACAGTCACAGAGGGAATGAGCCGCTGTTGTCTACTTTGCTCGATGACTTGACAGAAACAGGAAGAAGCAGCAGTCCGGTCTGTTGAGCTGCTCTCGAGTCCAGTTCCCAACACACCTCGCTCAGATAAGTACCACAGCACCGAGCTCAGGAGCCGCTGCTCTAGTTAAGAGGAGCTGCTCTAGTATCACTATTGTAACGCCCTACACTCTGAGAAGACTTGGTTACAAACTCAGAAGTGGCACAGACTGGAGTGGGTCACTATTCTGGGATTGGTTTATGTCTAGAAAAGTTTTGGCGAGGCACCAATCAGTGACAAGGGACACACAGCTCTGCTGGAGGGGTGACAACACGAGGAAGTGACAGTCGTGTCAAACCTCCTCTGTGATGGAAAAGATCAGTGCAAAAGTCATATTTTCTTTCTTTCAAGAAAAACAGAATAATATTCTACTCAAACGTTTTCTAAGCCGAACAGAAGAAATTCTAGCAGCTCTTAGATGCTGCTGCGTCTCATTCACATTCTTCCATACTCACACTTGCTATTTTAAGTGCACACCTGCGTTAAGTGTGTTCACATTGAAAAGTGCGGCAACATGCAGTTCGCTCAAAACGGTCAAAAAGTTGGATGTGAAACGATGGCGAGTGTTTGATTTGAGACCCTGATGGAACTCACGCTCTGCGCCGCTGAGTTTACCGTGTTCACAGTGTTACTGCATGTGAGCGCACAGACAGACACAGCAACAGTGTTGCTTTGAGCTAAACGCTAACATAAAAATGCTAAAATGCTAGCAATCCCACAACTTAAGAATACAACACCAACATGCCGATGCTGAGCAGGTACAATGTTCACCACGTTTAGTTTAGTTTGTTAGCGTGCTAACACTGGCTGTTCACGCCTGGACACAGGACACAGATGAGGCTGATGGGAATGTCTCTAGGTTTGCAGATGATTGGTCATAAACCAAACGGAGCAAATGAATGCTGGGACGGATAAACACAGCTTTCACACAGTCTATCTGACTCTTAAGTGTTCTGTTTGGCCACTTGAGCCGAGTGCAACAATGCTAATGAACACTGGTGATGAGGTATTAACATACATGCTTTTCAGAGCTTGCTCATTTCTTCCCTCACTCCTTGGTTTAATGAACTTGTAGCTCATTTCCTTTATTGTATTGTTTATATTTTAATTAAAAAGAATGACCAGAAAAAAATCCCTCTCCCATTATGTCTTTGTCCTCTGGGCATGGGCCCCCCCCCCCACCATGAATAAAATATATGTCAAACATGGCCGCATGTGAAATCAATATGTTCTGATGAAATGATTCTGCGTGGTAAACAGAAGACGCTGCTCAGGCGGACGCTGGAGCGGCTGACTGTACCTGATAGACGTGGTAGGCGTTGGCAGCTCTGCCCTGCAGGAACACAGAGGGGATCCACACGTTGATGAGAGCGCGATGAGCCCTGAGTGGCACAAACAACAAACCATCCTCACTGTCGCCGTCGTCATTATCATCATCATCATCAGCATCATCATCATCATATCATCATTATCATTATCATTATCACTGGCAGCAGCAACATCAACAGAGTGTCAGCACTAGGCCTGGACAGTTAGAGCAAATTATAGCTCACTCTGGTAAAACACCTCAAAATCTAATTTGGTCTGGAACTGAGAGCAGAACGAATGAGCGAATGTATGAAACCAAACTGTGTTTGAGCTCCGTTCACTGGTAAATTTGAGGAAGAATAACTTGGATATAATTATTCTGGGAGAACAGATATTTTACATGGAGATGACGCAGCTCCTGCAAGATTCAAAACAAGAGAAACTCCGGGGGGGTGAGAGTGAATTAATATAAAAAGGGGGAAGGATGGAGAAGGAGTGAGAGAGTAACAGAGAAATATTCTTACGTCTCAAAATCGGACAAGCTGGGGTCGTCTGACGTCTGGCTTAAATCTCCTGGGACCTGGTGCACGAGCGAGAGGGGGTTGATAGAAAGAAACTACAAATTAGACATTCATTACATATACAGTACAAACTCACACACACACACACACAGTTCAACTGTATGAAAAATATTGTTACAACATCCACTTCTATAGAGAAACTTCCTCTTTAAAATCAACTGAATTGAACTGAGTGAGAACTTGACAGGTGGCGTCGATGGAGCTCGAGCTCGTCTGACGGAGCTGTGGGGGCACAAAAAAAGGGTGGGAGCAACACACTGTTTACTCAGCTGGGGTGCACATCTGGAATGCCTCAACATGTGCACACGTGTTGTGTTGTGTGTGTGTGTGTGTGTGTGTGTGATCCCTGTTTGTTGTTGATGAGTATCCACTGCTGCCGGGTAGCAATGGTTGTCCTAATTTGACACCTTCTGTGCAATTCTGTGTGTGTGTGTGTGTGTGTGTGTGTGTGTGTGTGTGTGTGTGTGTGTGTGTGAGAGAGAGAGAGAGAGAGAGAGTTCACTAAACCTGTGATTTGTTTCGCTCTTTGCATGTTTCCAGTTCCCTTGAGGAACCACATGACCAGGTCCAGATGTGAGCCTCTTTTGGATGAGTGTGTGTGTGTGTGTGTGTGTGTGTGTGTGTGTGTGTGTGTGTGTGTGTGTGTAAACATCCATCTCTCTCAACCAGAGCTGGCTTCTCGTCTTCTCAGTCCTCCCTGGGAGACTAAACAAACCTGGGCTAAAACACTGTCACCATCAGTGGGGTCTGCAGCCTCAAGGCTTTCGTCAAACCCTCCAAGAGTTTCACACAAACACACACGGAGAAAGTAACGGAAGAGTGAGGCGGAGAGAGAGAGAGAGAGAGAGAGAGAGAGAGACGGTTAGAAAGTGACCCGGGTCTGGTCATGTGTAGCAGCTCTTACAAGCTGGAATCATGCAGCAATCAGGAGGCCAGAGATGGACACACACACACGCACACATGCACGCACACACGCACGCACACACGCACGCACACACACACACACACACACACACACACACACACACACACACACAAACACACACACAGTTATAGTGAGCAGTCCAGCAGAGCAGGGCTGAAGCTGAGGGATAAGAGGACCTATCTTCAGCCTGAGGCTCCCATCACTGCCAATGCATCAACTCACACTGTGGAGAGTTTGTGTGTGTGTGTGTGTGTGTGTGTGTGTGTGTGTGTGTGTGTGTGTGTGTGTGTGTGTGTGTGTGTGTGTGTTGACTGCTTCAAGCTCTCCTGAATCATGACCAGACGTTGGCGTTCTGTTTGTGTTTGTTGTTATTTCAGAGGACAACTTAGAAAGTTTCTGAGAAAAAGTAGTTTTGCCTGAAATACCGATGAACGGCAGGAATGGATAGTTAGCATTAGTGTCGACAGAAAATCAAACTTCACCCACGGAGAAGGAGAGAGATGTGAGCGCTGGACACGCTGTTTGACGGACAGATTATCTCTGCGAACTGCATCTGCAACCGTTATCGGCGTCCATTGACTGGAGAGAAGAATGAGCAGAGCACCACTGCAAAAACAAACAGGGCGAGGCCGAGATGAAAGTCAAACAGAATCACGAGGAGGAGAGTCGGGAGCAAAATGGCAGAGTGACAGAGAGAGGAGGCAGGAGGAAGAAAGAGCAAACCTGCAGAGAAATGTGTGTGTGTGTGTGTGTGTGTGTGTGTGTGTGTGTGTGTCCAGTCACTCACCGGTCCTCTCAGGTCAATGAGTTCCTGTCTCATCTGGACAATGAGGTGGTCTTTGGCCATTAGGGAACGGTAGAGGCGCTCATTAAACTCTATCAACTCTCCGTGCATCTCGGCCACCTGCAGCGTGCGCGCGCACACACACACACACACACACACACACACACACACACACACACACACACGCAGAAACAAGACAGAAAACACATTCATTTATCATGCTGAAGAGCATTATTATATAACACACAATTATGTAAAAAATAGAGAATAGAAAATTATGTAAATACATTATGTATAGCGTTAGCACATTCAAAAAATTCAGTTTCTGTTCAAGACACAAAAGGCAGAGACACTCCAGGTGAGACGTAATGGAAGTTGACAGCAGGACAGATTCTGAGAGACAGTCAAACCCCTGACAGAGACGGGAGAGATGGAGGGAGAGAGACGGAGAGAGGGAAAGATGGAGAGAGTGTGAGGGGGTGAAACCAGTTCATATCCTAAACAGCCAGACTCCTGCCAGACTGCTAATCAATTGTCTTCAGCTCTAACTAACCTTGACGTGGTGTTATTCACATCTGTGTGCATGTGTGTGCTCCTGCAAATATGGCCAGGCTATTCTGTGTATGTGTGTGTGTGTGTGTGTGTGTGTGTGTGTGTGTGTGTGTGTTCCTCGGCCTGGTTAGGCAGACTCTGCCTAACCAGGCCGGGCAGTGTAGACAGGCCTCCTTCAGGAGACTGACAGCTGTGACACACACTGTGCTGTAAGGAGGACACCTGATGTCACGGCCGCCTCGCCAGAGCGCCATCGCCGGCTGACAGGTGAGCCGCAGCGCCACTTATTGCTCCAGCACAGACCTTCATACATTAACTTATTCACATCCCATTTAAGAGCCCACACACTGCCGTAAAGACCCGTTATGTAATAACAACAATGATAATGATCACAATAAACTTGAAGCAGAGTTCAGTGGATACCTCACAAAGCGGCTTTGTGTCGAAGCAGGACTGACACTAGTCTGCATCTAGAATTTAATATTACGACGTCAAACTGAATAATCACGGTTTATTTCAAACTGAGGCTGGAGTGTGTGAGCAGAACGAATCTAACATTGTGTCTATAACAAAAAGAACAACAACAAAAAAACACACCGCTAATCCGAGCTGTGCAGTGACAGAGTTTTCAGTGAGTTTGCATGTGATGATCAACCAGAATCAGGGAAAGTGAGATCTGTGCCATCATAGATGACTATTGGACACTGCAACAACACTAATGTGGTGCTTTTAATGTTGTCGGGCCCATCTATCTTCTTATTCTTTATTCACTGACCCGGGCGAGGTCCGCTGAGGTCTGTAAAGCCAAAGAGACCCGGTCATTCCAGCCCTGACTCCGGTTTATTCACCTCATGAAACAGTGTTCTGCTCTTCTTCTTGTAGACCTTTACTCACAACAAGAGTTCAGGTCATAACAATCTCACATTGTTAGACAAAGGTTCACTGTCATGGTCTTCTAGATAAAGATGCAGGGAGAAGAATAAACTGCCCAAACACAGTCCTGGTCAAGGAGGAGTGAAGTAGGCAAAGCACAAGACATATGTAATATTAACTGGTGTGGGTGAGAGCATGTGACAGTGACCAATAACGTCTTCATACATACAGGTTCGCTCTATAGTTTAGCTGTATGTGGGTAAAGTACAGATATATATGTCCTGTCAGACTTGTTGTGGCGCTGCTGCGAGTCTCTCTCCGGCTGTGTACTGCTCATCATTTTCTCTGTGGCGCCGAGCTTACAATAAATACTTCTGCCTGACACATCTGAACTCCGGGTGATCGTCTTTTTCTCCAGCTCACAACATTTCAACCACAGACAGGTTCATTTTTTCTTTTTTCTTTTTTTTTCAAGTCTATCTTCGTCGCCGTTTCTTGGCTGGGTGCACTAACTCCCAGAAGTCTCTGCCGACTCCCTGGGAACCTCAAAAGATTTCAGATAGTAACTGCTACCAAAAAAAAAAATGTCCACGTTAATGTTTTGATGGATTAAAAACAGCACAATGTGTTAATTAATGAGGTTTAGACGTGTTGTCAGGTGGGTGTTGTTACCTTTGGAGAGAGCCAGGCTAGCTGTTTCCCCCTGTTTCCAGTCTTTATGCTAAGCTACATTAGCTAACCAGCAGCTGGCTGAAGCCTTACTTTCACACACAGAGATTTAAGTGGTATGCATCATCAATATTAGTGTATTCCCTCAAATTTTGAACTGTTCCTTTAAGAAGACACTCAAATGTCCTCATATACATTGTCATGGTCATTGTTGTGGTTCCTCCCTATTGCAGTTCTACTGTAAGAGCTCCACAGCTGCAGTGGAGGGCTTCACACACATAGGGATCTTTGCAGGAAAAAATACTCAAACTAGAAAAGATAAATGTTGTTTTTTGTTTTTTTTCACAGCACAAGGACGGATGGATTTTCTTCCCTCATCTCTCACATTGGAATCACGTTAGCAGCTGATCTCTGAGCAGCCAGGACGGACAGGAGAGGGGGAAAAAAAATCACAGCCACAGGAAAACTGAGTTGAAATGTTTATATGGGCATGTAAATGTTGTTAAAACAGACTTGAAACAATATGAACCTATCATTTAAGGCGGATTGCAGTCACTGCCAAGGAGCCAGTTGCAGCTCAGTCCATCAGTCGTAGTCGGACCCAGCCACACGCTGCTGCCCTCTAGAGGCGATGCTGCTGTGGAATTTCAGGAGAACACATTTAATGAATATTAAAAAATATATATATATATATATATTTTTTATAAAAGTCACTGACTTCAGTTTTTTTGGCAGTGGTATTAAAGTAGTTTCAAGCCTCCAGTTGCCATGACAACCCCAGTTCAAAAAAAAATACAGAAAGCAAGGCTACAGAACACGTGTTTGTCCCCACCTCTGGAGCAGACTGCCTCTGGCTGAAATGATAACAAATATTCCTCCTTTAGGGACTTTAGATTTTGAAGGTCAGACAGTCAATGAGAGATCTGACAGAGCCGACAGTAAAAGTTGACATTTAAATCAGTAGAGTTGTGATACATAACAACTACATACAAAACAACTATTCTACAGTACGCGAGCGTGCTTTAAGGAGTGATATAAAAGACACTGCTAAATGAAACTCCTTGAAGCTCCTCAGGCGAGGTATTCAGTGTGAAGGGGGAACCTGACAGCAGGAGAGAATACAGACAAGTCTTCACTCTCGACTGCAGTATTCACCGGCACACAGGCAAGGCCACGGGAGCCGCAGATCACACTTTGATCAGGAGCTGCGACGTGTGTTTGGCTTAAAATACGATCAAAAAAAAAAAAACCCCTAAGATCACCTGCCAACTTAGCTGCTAACTGAGGTGGAGATGCCAAAATATTGTCTCCTCAGATGATGTTGCTTCAGTTACTTGCCTCTACATTGTTAATGTCTATGTTTAATAAATAGTAAAAATGCGGAGTGAAAGAGAGGTTTGAGGCAGACAAAGACTCCCGTCTGTTAGATTAACAGAAAGCAGAAAGACTGAGAGGAACGCAGAGAGAACGTTAGAATAAACGGACAAAGCGAACAATTACAGCTGATTGTGTTCAACAGGATCAGAGAGACGTTGTAAAGACTTCACACAACTATAGCACACACTAAATAAAACTAATCCTACCACAAATATCGGTGACAATCCTGTCTGTGTAATAGCACTTTTAAATGGACGCTCATTTTCTCTCACCAACACAACAGCTGCTACAATGAACAAGTTTGACGGGGGGAGAGTCCTCTGTGATTTGTGTCTGTCGTTGTTTCCCAGTTCTACTGTTTAACTGCGGCTCCGGAGTTATGAAGTGAATAACACTGTGCGTTTCCTCGGGCAGGGCTGTTAAATCTCTCCACTGTCAAATACAACCTGAGCTCTACAGGCAGTAAATCATCCAAAGTATAAAATAAATTAGTTGCAACAAGTCTGGGAATTTTGGAAGGCCTTCAGCCGCTTGCAGCTGATTTGAGCGATAATCATTTTCACACTTTTTGAGAAAAGAAAAAAACAAAAAAACAAAACTACTGCAAGTGTCTTTTACTTAAGGGTGAGAAATAATGGAAAGTAACAGACTTCTTTTTACTTGGACAACTACGCTTCAGAAATCTGGATAGAGGGAATCAAACTGCATCCAACCACTTGGGCTCAGTTGATCCCTGGTCTTGCCACTTTTTATTTTAACCGAATAAAACGGATATATCAGTGCGCTCAGTCAATATCTGCGTGACTCTAAACAGCCGAGATGCTAGAAATCTCGGGATCAGATGGGGCCGCAAAGTAATAAAACACAGCTGATGTTAATCTTTGAACATAAAACATAACCAACTCCAGCTCAAAAATGAATCCCCAAACCTGACATCTCAATGTTTCTGTCTGTGTCCTTTCAAAAACCTCAAAAGGACACTTTCAAATCCAGTTAAAGTCCAACAGGCACATATCACCTCCTGGCATTTTCCACTCAGGGAACAGGAAGTGGTTACACCCTGAAACACTGTGACTGTCCTCAACACACCAACCAATTCATCATTCATTTATTTAGCTGCCACAACTCTTAAATAGGACATTATAAAAGAGGGAATTAATTTTAAGCGTGAAGAAACCCAATTAATTCTCAGTGAGAGGGAGCTAATCAGTTTGTCATTCTCTGGTGGCGCATGTATGTGTGTGTGTGTGTGTGTGTGTGTGTGTGTGTGTGTGTGTGTGTGTCTGCATGTACAGTACAGCATGTGTATGTGAGTGCACATGTGCGTTGCGTCTGTGCGAAAGCGGCGGTCTATATTAAGCGCTGGTTGTGTGGCGACGCGCTAGCGTTGCCAATTTGTTTAAATGGTCAAGTTAATATTCTCTACTGTTATTAACGCAAGGTCATTAAAATGCACAACCGGGTTTCGGCGTTCATTCGCTCGTGCCTGGAGCCTGACGTGCAGCGGGCTTCACTCAGGTGCATTATCCCTCTCTCTAGCTGACCTTTCTCCACCGAAGGCCACCCAAAGGCTCGCTTCAGGCTCGCATCAGCCAATAAATATCTGCAGGACGGGGGCGAATTAGTGGATGCAGAAATCCCCTCCAGAT